TAAAGAACCTTTTACACTTTTCTTTTCCTGCTGTTACACATCTCTCAGTGTGAAGTAAAAAGAAAATCATCACAACTCACACACACGTCAGTTATCACTCGGAACAGTTCTCCCTCACATTGCTGAGGTAATGTGTGTGATTTCTCTTTCTAATGTTCCTGAGAATCCGTTCCTTTTTTTTATGACTGCAGCATCAAACACAGAATTATTCAACTCTCACCTCAGTATCTTCGGTAATCTTCTCCCTGACAATCCTCGGCTTCAGAAATCCTTTACAGTCATTGTACAGGAGCAGAAGCGCTCACTCTGCATTCCCTCTCATTATCTTTTGATATTTCCTTGCTTCCTGGATTGATTAAACTACTGTAACTGTATCATTGTTCTTTTAGAGGGGAAGATGAGTGCTCCCTGGTTCTTCTACTTCTGCCCCAATAAGGATTGATGCTGACCCATTTTCCACATACTGTGTGCGCCCACGGTCCGACAGCGCTGCGCACTATACGCCGCCATTTGCCGCCACTCTAGTCAATGATTTTTTTTCTACAGCGAGCGCCAGTACGCTCTGCTCTGTTTCAAATACGCTGCAAGTCTATTTTCGACAGAGTACGCAGCAGGCACAGCATAACTTGTATCCCTCATGAGATCATATCATATCCATCATTAAGAGTTTTAATAGTGCATGCTGATTAAAATCATTCTTTTGTACCAGGCTGTAAATATGTTCATTTCTGCTGTCAGAAGAATGTTCACATGGGGTGTGTATGGGACCTCCTGGTCTTTTGGAGCCAGCCTCAAGTGGACACTCAAGGAACTGAAGTTTTCACACATGCACAAAACTCCTCAATGTGTTCTTACATTTTGCTTTGGGTGGGCTGCATGTGTGAACGCCATAGGGCAATTTTACTCACAAAGTCAAACTGGAATTTTCCCCATCAGCCGTCACTCATTTAGCTCAATTCCGCCTAAATGAGTGGTGAGTAGATGTGTGAACACAGCAGGAAACATGAGGGAGCAGGCGGGGGTGACGAGTGTGTAATTCATACACATAATGAAACAGCTACATATCATTTTCTGCTTGAAAGATTGTTCTTTTCTGTTTGTTGATACTGTGAATATTTTCAAAAAAGTCAAAAAACTACGGTCATTACAATGTTGGACTCTGTTGCTTTGTCTTGCCGTGTGTCGTCCTTTTAATGTTATGTCCCGCCTCCTGAGATTATTCCCCTTCCACCCGTCCGACAATAAAGCTTTGTGAGGTGCATGTGTGAACAAGTAACTCAGGAAGACTTCAGGCGCCGTCTGTTCTGAAATTCTATGTGCAAGTATGAAAATAACGTTAGAAATGGAAATTGAAAACAGAGGACTAACTAAACAGAGGAGAAATTCTATGTGTTTTCAGACATACTGTAGCATCATTTACCGTCTGTTGAAAGCACTCCAACTCAAAAGTTAAGTTAAAGAAAAGTGCTGCCATCTGTACAGCCGGCTCTGTCCTTCTCTTTCCATCCTGCTAATGTAAGATCAGAGAACTCTACGGAAGAGAAATGTCTAAAGTTTGATGCGTTCAAAGCACTTTGTCTCCTTTTTGCAGGTGATGACGTTCAGACATTTATCATTCTGACCGCGGCACTCTCGCTCAGTCGCCTCCCGACAGCCAGTTTGTTTACTTCACCATCAGTTAAAAGTTTCCTGGCCCTGGGCTGGAAGACACAAGAGCCAGATCGCACATTTCTGCCTGTCTTCGTCTGACGAGAAAGCCCTTCATGATTTATCTGGAAAGCTGATGAGATAAGGCAGGAAGTGAGGCTGACCTTGTGGAGCACAAAACTTATCAAGTACACCAGCAAAGTATGATTTATGATGTATCATATGCTGACAAATAAAAATGATGTTGACACCGACATAATGTCATGATTAAAGGGTACCTGTTTAAACTGCCTCATTGTGAAATGCTCTACAATGCTTTCATTACTGATACAATTCAGAGTACCTCATTTTGGCTTATTGTCAAAACATGGAGAAAGAAAAGAGGAAATTTGATTACAAAATGCCTCTCATCCATCCTCTATAACTGTTACACATAATAAAGTGCTGTTTATCTGTGTATTTATTTGACTTCATGCTCCTTAAACATATTAGCTCACTAATTAAAAAGCCATAATTAACAGAATGCTGCCCTGTCTAAACACATATTGAAACCAGTGTTGTGTTAAGTGTTTTCACTTGACTCGAGGGCATCATTCACAACAGACACTCTGGAAACATTACTTAAATATGGACCATTTGGTGTCATTTGGACACAGGAGCAAAAGTATTTCTTCTGCTTTATTACTTTTGTTGCAACTGTTAGATATGCAAATCTCAGAGCATGGGGGTAAGATGTTAAAGGGTGGATTCCCGACTGAAGCCTGTCAGAGCCCGATGGGTCGGGGCAGGTTTGGAGAATACATTTATAAATATGTTTGGGTCGTGTTCGGTCACATTGGTCTTTGCAGTGGTCTTCGCAGATTGGGAAAATCTATCCGTTGTTAATGTCACTGATGAAGTGGAGCTGTATTCACAACAGAATTGCGGCATTCAGATCGCAACATGGACCACACGTGCACCCGCTCGATCGAAATTGTCAACATATGTGCAACGTTTCATTTACAAAATGTGCTACATTAATATGTAAAATTGACAGGGCCACTAGCCAATCACAATCTAGGCTTTTTGGGGGTGGCACCTGGAGTGGCCAATCACATTTCAAGGGTGGCCCATGCCATCTCTGGTCACCCCCTCTGGCCACGCCCCTGCTTTGGTCTTATCAAAGTGCTGAATATGTACGGCACTTCAGCTCCTAAATATTCAGTTTTTCTCACTAGTTAGTTTCTAAAATGGGCTTCAGTTTAAAGTTGCAGAGCTTGGTGATAATTCTCTTTGAGTTTGTCACTGCGACTCCTTAAAGTAATGAATAATCAAGGTCTAAAAAAAAAAAGAAGACATTTCTGCATAGGCTTCTGAAAATATAACCAAACTAACTCATTTAAAGGACACCACAGTCTTTGATCTTTGTCAGTAAATGTGCACATACTATGAGTAATTGGATCACCCAAGGCTAATCCACTAAACAACAACAACGACAATAAAAGAAAATGGAAAACCTTGGATGACTTCTGAGGTTTCTACAACAACCAAGTCAACACTTTTACATAACCATGAATCACTCAGCACTCCTACTGCCAAGTATTTATTATGAGGCTGTAGAAATAAGTGGTATTTTTCTAAGGTTACCTATCTCATGGCTACCTCCAGCCTCTGTCTAATCTACTGTAAGATCCCATTATCCAGTGTAGCCCTGCAGGTATGATAACCTAAGCTGTGTTTATCCTGCTAAGGGGTAAAAAGGCTTTCCAGATATTTTGATACCATGAAAAAAAGGGACTGCTCTCACTTTTGAAGCTCACGGCAGAGTCAAAACAAAGGCCCGACCAATTTCAGTAGACTTTTAAAAAGGAACTTAATATTTAAGGGAGGCTGCACACCCTACTCTTGTGTCTTTTTGTCTTCACCTTCCACATAAATATCAGATGTTTTCCACCACAGAGCCGAAACCAAGGGCCTTCAAGTCTGCAACAGCCTCCGGTCTTCTATACAAGTTTTTGCAGAGGATTTTTAAATCTGGCTGCAGGGATATAAGTCCTAAGGTCAAGCATTAATGGTGAGTGTTGAGATCTGGCTTTTACTGATGTGGACCCAAAGAGTCAGGTCTCACAAAGATAGAAAAGACCCCAGCCTAAAATACCGTAAGTGAGCAAGCAACTGTGAGTAACTAATCCCTGAGAGCAAAATGCTATCCTTCTGTTGAGGAATCTTAGTTTGTAAGAAAGTTTTTAAGAAATAAGCCGCTAAAGTAGAAATGTTGGGGTATATTGAAGGAAGGTGCAAGAGAAGTAAATAGGAACTCTCACACACTCACACAATATAACTTCTGGGATACAGTGGACATCACAAACTGAACACTGTAAGAGCTTTTGACAAATATATGCCCCTCTTATATCTGTGAAAGTATTTAAAACTGAACACCAGAGCGGGTATATTGAGAAGAAGCCGAAGAATAACACAAACTGAAATTCCTCTACGGCATTCACTTACCAAAGGATATGCTTAGTTAGACAAGTTTCAGTGATGCTGACTCAGCGTATCCTCACAACAATGGAAAACAAATCATTGTTCCAAGGTGGGATGTGGTGGGGAAACTACAACGCAAAAGAAGTCAGAAGAAATCAGCTTCTAAGTAGTTGCTCCGTAAATTAAAGTGATATTTTCTATGTGAATTAAGCACAGGCTGTATAAAAATTGTTGTGAAGGCACAGTACTGGAAATGCTGGCTCAATATAACTTTCTATCAATACAGAGACAGGCAGAGCGATGGAGCTGAGGCGGGCCTTTAGTCTCCTGGAAAACAACTTAAACATGCCCTCCTGTCAGTCAGCTTAGCCCCACCCCCAATTATAAAAATGTATGAATATTTCTTAATAAAAATGTTTTTTACCAGGCTCAAAGATTTATATTTCTGCCAGTAAAAGTTTGCAACTGGGCTGTTTTGGGTTTTTCAGCCAGCCTCAAGTGGACACTTGAGGAACTTTTTTTTTTTTTTTTTTTGCACTAGTGCATTTGTTTCATACTTCCACATGGTTGAAAAAGTATTTATTGAACTGACCTTTTTGATCAGTATCCTCTTTAGATTTGTTTTGTCTTTTATTAATTGATTCACCAAATTACAGAATCAAAATACCCATAATATAATTATTTTATTTAATTATACATATATTTAAGTGTATGTATGTGTGTACAGTATGTATGTGTATGGATGTTTTGCTTCTTGTTCACATCATGTGCCATGACATTTTATTGTGTAGTTTTATTTTGAAATGTCTGTCTTGGAGGTGGAGCCTCCTTTGTCATTTGTTTAACTCTGATTGGATGATTGAAAAAGAGTCAACCATCTTGTGTTTATATGTGTTGTTCTGCCTGTTTTTTTGAGCTACCTCAATGGAGGCCCCGTGTGGAAATGTGTAGCTTAAAAAACAGCACACTCTTCGTATTTCAGTAAGTTTGAGTTCTCTTAAATGTTTGATTTTCTTCCTACATGAGAACTACAAATTAATTAGAAATGCAGTGAAATATACCGTCTGTTGTGTATATGTACTCTTTCCATATTTTTTGAAGCAGCCCAAACCACAGTTTCAACAGAGGTTCATCTTCCTGCTGGAAACCTGCAGCCATCTTCAATACTCAGAGGTAATTTAAACCATTAACTGTCATTGCTAAAGTTTTGGATGTTAATAAAAGCGCAGCTTAAAAATGGTTGATGGTTGATTTTGCCAGTAATGGGATCACAGCACAGTGTCAAGTAAAGCCCCTGCAAGCTCAGCCATCTCTTAAAGGAGCAAACTATGACATGTATTTTCTAAAATAAGGCACCGCAGTCCAAATCCAAAACATCGAAGAGGCGCCTCCCCTCTAGAGTCGGTGCTCATGCAGGTCCACATGAAGCTTCAGTGTTTAACCAGCTCTACATCAGTCTTGAAATATTTCTGCATTGCGCTGTATTGATCCTAGTTTTACCACGTTTCTGGTCATGGAGCTTATAAGAAAATGCAGAGGCTTTTTAGGTCGGGTAGAATCATTTATATCTGAACTAGTTCGCTTCCATCGCTGCAACACCTACAGTATTGGTTTGACGTTGCCTGACAACTGAGGGCCGTAAAACCGTCTACTTCTCTGATCAGAACAAAAACAGAGCATTCAGGAGCAGAATCTAAAGTTAGAAGGAGGACATACTGGCTGCTGCATTGTTGTCAGAGAAGCCAGCACTTCAACATACAATGTTTCCTTAATGTCTGATCATATAGTGAGGTCATTTTGTGATTTAATTGAGTAAAATTATATTTATTAGTCCTTTAAACTTTAAATTGGATATATGAAATCTGGGAGACAAACCTATTTTCAATCTGAACTTTATTTATAAAATTGCACCCAAGAACATATATTTATATGTACGTTTGCCAGCTTTGATTTTTATTTTTCAAGTCATTTCTGCCTATTGAACAGGACAGCTGAATAGAGACAGGAAATGTTGGGAGTAGTGAGAGTGGGACGACGACTATAGCATCTGAACATGGGTCGCACAAAATATCCACTAGACTATTCGACACCTGTGTACCAGCTTTGTGATGCAGATTGGAGGTAAACTGTTGTTCAGCGTCTGTCACACGGCCTCTTTTTACTGATATTAATTATGTTGTGTACATTAACTTAATTACAGCTAGCTTAAAGCTGTATTGGTGTGACAGCATGTGTAATGGCTACATCTTTGTGGTTTATTCTTTATCCATAACATCTACCCACTGTCACCTCTAATGTTGTCCCTCCAGCTTTGCCGCTGTCTGATAGAACGTCTCTGTTATTTGTCCTGCTGTTGTTAAAGCCATGTCTCGAGTACAGCCACAGCCACTCGACTGGCCTCATTCTGACAGCGTGGTGGTATTTATCATCAGGAGGTTCGGGGCTTTTGGGAAATTATGTTTGTTAAAGCGGCTCCAACAAGAAATGTTTACACAAACGAAAATAGATCATTATAAAGAGATTGAACACCCATGCATAAGCGCCACGATATACACGAGGGCGGTAAAGTGTTGTGTGTCAAAGCAAATAGCTCTGAACAGCAGAAGTTATTCGTCCTTGGTGAGGACCCTTTTATTTCTTCTTTATTTGTCTCATTTATTCCCTAAGATAACTGTTTTATAATTTCAAGTATTATGTTCCTCTCTTAAGGGATTTACCCCGACAATTTAACCACCTTAACTAAACCTTAAAGAAACTTAAAGGTCGACAGAGTGAGGAGTCAACATTGTTGGAAAGTCAGCAGTAAAGGCCAAAACACCGGAGTGAAAGATCCATTTCTAGTCTTCTGATTACTCATAGTGCTTTACACCGCAAGTCACACCTTACACATCCACACACTGATGGCTTTGTGAAAATGACCATCAGTATCAGCTGAGAGTTGAGAGATGACCGACTCCACCACTGAGCCACAGCTTTGTGTTCTTTCTGGTTCGTCTGTTGACAATCTGTCCCGCACTTTCCTTCCTCTCTTTAAACTGGATTGTGCTTTCAGATTCTGATGAGATGGTAATTCATTTCAGCTCTCATTATTGACAGGCCCGCTCAACGTGACAGTCATGGAAGTGGAGAATTGTGCAGACAGAGAGCTGTTAAGACTCTCAAACAAATCTTTGTCACATTTTGTACTTTTGGAGTGAGGATACTGCGAAGACTAACACAGGCAGCCGGTTCAACATTTCATAATACCCCGAGGGCCGACTTCCATCATCCATATTTTGTTACACCTGTGAGGTGCTTAAAGACACCTAAAGAAAGCAGAGCGACCTCGCATATCTAAAAATATGTGTTTGCTACTGATCCGACTATAGAGCGAGACAGACATCTGAGGTCTGCTGTGCGTGTGCGTGTGCGTGTGTGTGTAATACCGCTCTTCAACAGACTGCACCTGCTCTGCTGACAACAAGATATTAAATCTCAAATAGACTCCTTTAGAAACGAGAACAGAGGGTGCAGATGTGCCCAACTCGGCATGCCGTGTTTGAGCCGTTATGGAGGTCAGTGCCGTAGAAGAAGAAGAAGACGGTCTTCTTTGTCTTTTGTGAGGCGGCTGCAGAAATGTCACACGGGAACGCAATGCTTCTGGATAATTAATGTATTCATAAAAAAAAAAAAAAAAAATAAAAAAAAAACGAAGAAGGTGTCCTTATTCCAAATGCAAATTAAAAGATTGCTCCACCATGCAAAGCTATATTAAATGATATGAGATGCCCTTCCAACCTGAAATTGACTGGCAAAGCTCCGATCACTGGCAGCGACAGTGAACCCTTAAGTTAAAAAAAATGACTCATTGGTGCTTCATTAAATTTAATGATTACTTTTAAAGTAGCCCAGATTTGTTCCTGAGAGGCTTTTGACTTTCTTGGCCAAATAAAGTCTCGTGGGCAGACGGTGACTTTTTTGGAATATTTACTGGATATTTATCTTTGACGTCAGGAGCTCTTCCATGGCCTCATGTCTGAAATACTCTGCATGTGTGAAAACGTGTTGAAGTGGATATGAAACAGAATGTGCCAATTGGTTTAAAATTATGTTGTTATGATGATGTAATTATATCACATGGACCACGATGGCAGCAGGTGGAGCAAGGTGACTTTGTAGCATCTGTCCATTTTTAATCAGGACCAGAGATGAACAAACATCCTCTCAGCTAACTCTGACTAATTCAGAGCCACGTTTGTGAAAGTGCATGAGAGGTGTGAAACGCAGGGTAACTCATGATAAGTTACTGTAAGTTATATATGACACAATACACGACTCATAGCCCATGATGAAGATAATATCACAATGCAACTTCTGCAATAAGTTACACATTGGAAAGACAATCACATAAGGAAACATTCTGATATCTGATGTAGTGAGGAAGACAAAAAGCTCCTTAAAAATGTATTTATCCACTATGATTTGGTGTCAGTTTCACCTCTTGTCACACTTCATCTTCTAACTTTTCACCACTGTCCGTCATTATCCTGTTGGCTGCTCCGAGCGCTTCGAGTTGAAAATCTTCAAAGTTTTCAGGAATGCTCTGTTGACGTCACTATAGTGCTCTTTTCAAAATATAATTTATTTCTTGTATTTTTGCCACATAAGGATTGTGTCTTGTACCCACATCCTCTTTGCTCCCGTGTCTGCTGGGGTAAAACCCATCTCAAGTAAAAGAGATGTACAAAGTAACGGCGCAATGTGGGTCATACATCGGCCGTTGTCAACATACCGTTGTCATAGAGACAGGACGGCCGTGCAGCGCTTTTCTTCTCAGTGCACAAACAAGCGCTCCCGAGTACACAGCCAGCGCTTTTCTGTTTTGCAAAGCGCTCCGGGGGGGTCTAAAGGTCCTGGGTAATAAAACAATAAATAATAATTTGGGAGGTCGGCATTAACGCTTTTAATGTGACACGATTACTGTAAGGTTTGAAATCAATAGCCTGCTTACATTTTTTAAAATCAGATTTATCAGTGTGCTACAATATAATAAAATCACTTATGGCAGAGTATCAATGCTAAATCAAATTGAGACATTTTGGCACACCTCAGGCTGAACATGGCTTCATTATTGCTAAGCCTTTCTATTAGCTCGGTTTGCTTTTTCATCAGTTGAAGCACCCATCAGTGTGTAAACAACGACCCCCTTTTTTAATCAACAGAGAATCTGATGTGGGCAGTCATTCAGACGTCTGAAACCAGACGCAGAAAGTGCAAAGTGATGCTATGATTTAGAATATAGTGCAAGACTTAACATAGCAATAATGATGATGTGTCAATATATCAATTATATGTTTGTGTTTACATACAGGTTTAAGTTGATTGCTGGCAGCTGTTAAAGGTACATTACATCATTATACTCAACTCAACTTTATTTAAATAGCACTTTACACGCAACATAGTTGATCCAAAGTGCTGAACAGCGCAACAACAAAAACAAAGCATTAGAAAGTTACAGACAAGAACAACAACAATCAAAATGAAAGAACAGGTAACAATTAAGTCCAGTGTAACACAAGACTAATAGAGCTATGGATTATGTGCTTGACTGGTTATTGAAAATTAAAGGCAATTGAGTTGAAATATGTTTTGAGGCGAGTTTTAAAAACACCAATAATGGGAGAGAGAGTTCCTCAGTTTTGGTCCTGAAATGGAAAAAGCATTATCCCCATTGCACCTTGTCCTAGATCCAGGCGGTGACAGTAGGTTTTGTGCAGATGACCTAAAATCTCCCACCGACTGATATGGGGACAGGAGTTCTGAGAGGTAAGAGGGGGCAAGTCCACTTAATGCCTTAAACACAGTCAATATTATTTTAAAATCAATCCTCAGCTTGACTGGTAGTCAGTGTAAGGAGGCAACAACTGGAGTGATGTGATCTACCTTTAACAGCAAACTTACATATGCACTTCTATATTTACAGTTTCATTTAGATTGGGAGGAGGTTTTTGAACTGTTCTGTTTCTTCTGACAGCACGGGGAGTTTAGTCTCAGCTGTGTTAATCTTAAAGCAATATGTTCTGTTAAAGAGTACAAGCTGCAGAAAATAAAAGATGTCCCACCTCAGGCTTTCTTCTTTGCTCTGATGATTACAATAATAGTCTGAGTGCTTGACACAAAGACTTACTGCACATCCCCTCTAACAATAAGCACTGCGTCTATAGAGACTTTAAAAAGGCTTCCTCTTAAACTAGTGTTTTCATATTTTAAACAGCTTGATAAATTGTTCAGTATCAACAGCCCTTTTTCCATCTGCAGCTAAAATAAACAAACGCCACATAAATATATGCTACGTGAAGTTTTCTGCCCCGATAAACTACAGGTTGTGCTCGTTCATCGTAAATGATGATTTATAGCTGCACAGCCGAGCCAGGAGTGTTAGATGTGGGGGGAATATGCCAAAGGAAATAACAATGTTATCCTTTAATGAGTCTTTCAAAATCAAAAGCTTTGGCCAAAAAAAAAAACAACCTTCCCTCTCTGGAACTGCCAATTTTGTCAGCACTTGAAAAGCCTTGGCAGTGTGTGTTGTGAGTGCTTGTATTTGAAAGTAAACAAACGTTAATTAATACACAATGGTCTGAATCGGTGGTAAGAAATGACTCAACAATGGCACCGCACACACTTGAGGCATGAAGCAAACAAATCAGACTCTTTTGTAAAGCTGCAGGTCTGCTATGTTTACTTCTACAGAGAAGAACATTCAGAACGGTGGAGTTAATGGTTATGTTTGGGACCTGTCCTCCGTGAACTGTTTCAGCGTTTGGGCCTTGGTGAGGGGTCAGACTCTTTTTTTTATTGCTGTTGGTAGGGGTGGTGTGGCTACTGTCGCAAAAAGAGGCAACTTGAAGAATCCTATTTCCAAACATACACTCATCGGCCACTTTATTAGATATACCTTCCTAGTCCCGGGTTGGACCCCCGTTTGACTTCAGAACTCTTAATTCTTCGTGGCATAGATTCAACAAGGTGCTGGAAACATTTCTTTAGACATTTTGCTCAATATTGACATGATATCATCACACAGTTGCTGCAGATTTGTCGGCTGCACATCCATGAGACGAATCTCCCGTTCCACCACATCACAAAGGTGCTCCATTGGATTGAGATCTGGTGACTGTGGAGGCCATTTGAATACATAAATCAACTTTTTTTCCCCATTCTGGTTCTCAGTTTGAACTTCAGAAGATAATCTTGACTATGTCTACATCCCTAATTGCATTGAGTTGCTAACATGTGATAGGCTGATTAGATATTTGCAATAACAAGAAGATGAACAGCTGTACCTAATAAAGTGGCCGGTGAGTGTATGTGTCTTCATTCACCTGCAGGGTGAGTTGGATATAACAACCTACATGGGGGACAAATGGGTTGGGGGTGGGGGGTAGGGGTTAGTTTTAATCATTTTCACAGTAAAAACTCAAATCTCAGCAACTGCTTTTGTCTAATTACTTGTCAAAAAATATCCAATTACTTGATATAAGCCAAATTTAACTGACAAGTCCAGATACACATCTTATTTAAAGCTATTACCAGGAACAAATAAGGCATGATTTGCTTGCAACCAGTAAATCTGCCAATGCAGCAAGCAAAATGGACTCGTTAAGTGTCAAGCAATAAGACATTACATCTCCATTTAGGACATTACTTCTCATTCCAAGAAACTTTACAAGAAAATTTTAATTGTGTCATTTTTTGGCTGCCCGTTTTAGTCATTACAAACAACTCAGTCCCTCTTTCTATGCTTTAATGTTTTGAAATAAGGACTTTTCGGGTAAATTTTTTGATTAGATTTTTTTTGAGATTTTTGAGTAGGAATGAATGAGACAAATACACCTGGGCAGATTTGAGTTTTTGCAGTGTTTAATGCTAGTGCCTTATTTATTATATATTTTTTTTAAAGTCAGATTGTACAACATTTTCCACAACAATAGAGCAGAAATGAAGTATATCCTCTAAATGTCTCTCTGAGTCATGACTGTCTACAAAGAGTGTGACGCGTGGGAGTCCCGTCAGCTGCACTGTTGTCAGAGCCGTGTTTAGTCTTCTTTAGCTTCTTTAGAAAAGAAGAAGAACATACTCACTGATTATTTGGATGTCACATAAGTGTCTTTAGATCATTCTGTCTCAGTTGATGTTCAATATGAATATGTGTGCTAACATTAGCCTGCTAACACAACAATGCAGGACAGGTGCAGCTCGAAGAAAGGACATTTTGTCCGCTGCTTGCGCTTAATGGTGCTTAATTATGGTGTGTTCCAATTGAAAAATCCTTTGTGTGAACTCGAGTGGAGAGGGTTTGGAGGTGTGGCAATGGAGGAGAGCGAAGGCTTCAGAATAGCGGAGGTGTCGCCAAACAGCAGTTTGTTTTGGTTTAATGCTGGTGTTGAAGGGCAACACGGTGTTGCCGACACCTACGGGAGCAAAAAGTCGCACATTCTTCCTTTAAGAGGCTCTCTTATCTTCACAACGGAGAGACAAAGCTCTTCCTGTGATAACACCTCAAACACAGCCGGCAGCATGTATTCAATTCAATTCAAAAAACGTTATTTGTCCCCGGGGGGCAATTCAAATGCACACAGA